CATAATTATTGGAAGTTACTCATACCAAAAGTCATGCTCTCCAAGAGTCATGATCCATATGAAAAGACACATCTTTTCATCTACATTCTCTAGAATATTCCACAATATTCTACACAATTCCAATAATTTCAAGTATTAAGTGGTTTAAATTTGGCTTAATTTCTCATTCACCAAACAAGGAATTTCCACTTAAATCATTTCAATTGGTCACAACCAATTTCCAATACAAAATTTCAACATAAACTATACTTGTATTTATATATTGATGAAATATTATCAGCGAGTTAGAATCTACAATTGCTTAATTTGCATTTGTTGAGATGTTTTTCTTCCCAATATACTGTACAACAAACTCCGACACCGCTTTTCCTAATAAATGTCGCATATGCACTGATGACACGGTAATAAATATCTTACGTGGAATTGACAAAATTGATGATTGTTATACTATGTTTATATTTGTCTTAAAGGTTTATAATTCTCAAGAATAAACTATAATTTTTTTTCTAATCAACTTGTTCGATTTGAAAGTTTGATTATGCCCCCTATATTCGAAATGTCGGTGTCCGATACCTAGCTCCTGTTTGTCTCCCATTATGGGAGAAAGAATAGAGTTTTGAATAGTATTTTTTGGGGAATGTGTTGTTAAAATTTAAAGAAACTTTATTGGTTTGTGCGTAGAATATTTTATTGTGTGAATGTGTGATGGAGAAATACGTAGCAAACAATTTAATTTTTTAAGGGTGACAAACACAGCCCTAATATAAACAAAAAGGAAAGTCGGTTGGGTTCTGACTATGATTCCAGGTTTTCGTCACAGACAATATACTTAAATAATCGTAGTAAAGAATTTGTTTATTGAATAGAGGTACTTTTAATTTAATTTTTTAATTTTCTTTAGCAATAAACCGCAATTTCTCACGTAATTCGTCCACCATAAAACACGCCAAATCCCACTATATTCTGCTCTATAAATTCTGTTCTATCACTTTATCTGTGTACAAATAACATACAAATCAATCATATTTGTTTGAAAATATGTTGATGAAAATAACGCAAAAATCTTCCCTTCAATCCCTGCACCTCCCAATTCGATTTCCAGGCAATTTTATGCCTCGAAAACCAGCACGTGTAAGAGTTTACAGCCCAGTTTTTGCAGTGAAAAGAGACGCAGGCCATGATAAAGGAAGGTTGGTCGATGAAAACATGATTGTTCTTAGAATGAGAATTCATCAAATGAAGATGGCAGAGGGAAATCACGCGCCGCCGCCGCCGAATTGGATGGAGTGGGAGAAGAAATGGTACGTCAATTATGATTCAGATGTATTTGAAGCAGTAGGGCTGTTGCAAAATTTGCTGATGGACAGTAGGCCAAGCTTTGTTGTGGGAGGGGTGGCTCTCATGATATTGAGCGGATCTACTTCTTTGGCTCTTCTAATGTTCCTTTTGGTGGACATTTTCAAGGGGATTCATTTTTGATTAATTAATCATCACTTGTTCTTTTAATTAGGTTTTGATATTCATATAGTTATTGATATGCCAGCAAACATGCGAAAGTATATGAATTCTTGTCTCTATTTCAACTTCTTTTTTTTTTTTTGGGATCAAGATTGGCATTTGTACTTCTAGTGAAAATACAGATTTTGATTGAATTAATGTTTGTTTATTTCAAAACAAGTGTGATTTAGTTAGAAATGTGAAATTGCCAAATAAAAAAACAAATTTCACCAAACAAAAATCGAGTTAACTGACAGTTCATTTGTCAGAATTTCTGCTTTCACTTTAACTCCTGCTTTCTGAATAAGCTACTTTAGATTAACTTTCTCTTAAAACTTTTCTAGTCAAAATATAAGACAGTATTTTTAGACATTATTCAAACATGTTTAAAAACAACTTTTGAGGCTCCTAAACAATTTTTGACGGTCAAATGAGCCTTCAGAACATTAGTTATGATACAAAGGAGAACAATTGGAAATTGGATTCTCGGACACAAACAAGTAGATAGAGATAGCAGTGATCATTGGCTCGATCCGCAGACACAAACTACAAACAGTGGATACAATAGTAATTGAATGACAATTTATTTATTAATTTTTCCTAAATCATTTTCCAGTTGTCCATTCCTTAATAGTAGTCAAGAGACGATTTTTGTTTAATAAGATAGTGAATCTGTCATTTAAATCATGACATCTTGAACTTTCAACAATTTAAATCACTATATTTCGACATTCGAGATGATAAAAGAGAAAAATAAGTGATTGGTAGGATTCACTCGAATGTCAAAGTATTGTGATTTTGTTAGGTTGAAGTCTGGGATATTACAACTTAAATGTCGATCTTATCACGTGCAAATACATAATCGTTCTACGTAAGACTTTCTTCTTATCAACAGTCCCGTCAATTTATTCGGATTTTAGAATAATATTGTAAGTACATTAAGTGACTGACATCAAGTTTGACATAAAAATCATGGGTAGGAAAAATAATTTTTTTTTTTTTTTTTAACTGTAGGAAAGTTTTTCTAACAAAGTAATAAAGTTGTGACACCACTTATGCATAAAAAAATCTCTTTAGTCATAAATAAGTAGTTTATTATGATTATGTTAAGTTAATTTGGACACTTTTAGAAGCCTTCTGTTTTCCTTTTAAAAAATAATATTTAATTTTAAAATGCGCCGCCCCTATTAAAATGTCAGAGCCATCGTCCACCGCCAATTAATGGGCAGTGCTTTCCTGCTTTTAGAAGCAACTGGTCTACATACACCCGTTTACATATTTGAGTCATATTAAAATTTTCATTTTCATTCTTATACTCATTTTCAACCACACATTTTTTTAAAAAATAATATTTTTTATCACTTCAATAATTTTTCATTCTTTTTCAACTACACATTCTGCTTAAATTTCAAAAACTTTCGGTACTAAAACTAAAGGAATCGAATAATTCAACCGAATTCTAAATTCTAGTACAAAATCAGAAACAAACCAAACTTTATTTATTTATGTAAATATTGAAGCTAGTATAATGCATCAACAGGGACGGATCTAGGGTTGGCGAGCTAGGGCGGCCGCCCTAGCTGGATCAGTCAAGAAGAATTTTTTTTTTTTTTTAGAATAGATAAAAAATTTATATTATATATATGATAGTTCATTTTTTTTAAAATCATCGTTGTTAGGTCAAATGATTGGCGTTTTCTCTATTAAACTAGAGGTCCCGGGTTCGAAACCTTACAATGCTAATATGTTGTGTAATTTTTATAAACAATTTTTACCAAGAACAAGTGCAAAGTGGATTTGAACCTGCGACCTTTGCTAAAGTATATTAATAGATTTATCATCATGGCAAAACAAGCACATAAAATTGATATAAGCACACAAATAATTTCAACTTTGTTAATATATAATGGTTGTTTAATTAACTTTAATTGTAAACTGAATATTGATATTTTGTTAATATATATTGCATGTTTGATTGAAAAATAAATTAAAACTCTTTCCAGATTATGAGTGTGTTTGAGCCACATTATTTTGGAAAAATGTATTTTGGAATAGTAGATTGATGGGGAATGTATGATTTAAAAATAANCCCCCCTATTTAGTTTTGGGCATTTTGTTTTGATTTATATTGAATATTATTTAATTAAATATTAATAAAAAACACCGCTATAACGGACGCTGACCGTAAGCGTTCAATGTTCGCCGTCCCCCCTAGCTGAACTCGAGCACTGGATTCGCCCCTGTGCATCAACCATATGAAAGAGTCACTCATTTTAAGTGTTTAGTGGGAGAGAGATTATTTAAAGTGAACATTATATTTTTCGAAAATGGATTATTGAAAGATGGGATATTTGTGAAAATTTCTCGGATTACTCATTTTAAGTGTTTTTTGGGAGATATTATTTAAAGTGAAAAATGATATTTTTCAAAAATGTATTATTGAAAGATGGGATATCTGTGAAAATTTCTCCGATTACTCATTTTAAGTGTTTTTTGGGAGATATTATTTAAGTGAAAAATGATATTTTTCAAAAATGTATTATTGAAAGATGGGATATTTGTTAAAATTTCCCCGAATATATTACTGACTAGTGGTTTCACCCCCAATTAGCTCACAGACCAGACCTAAACTTTGAGACCAATAGTGTGACTTATCTGGGCTCTGGCCCAGAAAAGGAAAATAACAAGGGAAGAATACATAATTACTTATATTTAAAGATAAAATTTCAACTTTGACAAATTTGAGATTATTATTTTTTTTTTTTTTCAAAAATCAGGTCTTAAATAGGTTTTTCAATCTGTTATATAAGATTTAATATATGTATATTAGATAATGAAAGCTATTTAAAAAGATTTTCCTTAAATATAGGAATTGATAGCAAATTTCTAATGTGGTATTAATTAAATAGATCATGAAATATATTTTATTAATTAAATAAATTAATGTCACAATATCATACAATTTATGGTCACGGTTACGTACTAGTCACAATAATAGAATGTCAATCACAAATCATAATTTTATACGTCACAACTTATTTATAGGTTATAATTTATTAAATTTATTAGTCACAACTTCTTTTTAGGTCAAAAATCACAAATTTTATATGTTACAACTTATTTCATAGTTACAGATTACTAAATTAGTTGATCATAAGTTATTTCTCTTGATAACGATTTATATCTCAATCACAAAGTTTATATGTCACACAACTTATTTCATGGTCACAAATTATTTAATTAACTGATCATAAGTTATTTTCAACCACTATTTATCAAATTAATTGATCATGACTTATTTCTCGATCACAAATCTCAAAGTTTATATATTACAACTTATTTCACAGTTATCAAATTAACTGGTCACAAATTATAGGTTACAATTACAAATTTAGTCACAAACCATTCATTTTTAGGTCACATGTTATTTATTAATCATAATTTATTCGTTTTATTGGTCACAACATTTCTTCATCGGACTGGCACCACCAAAAAATATCGTCACCCCACAGCACCACCACCTGAAGCATTACCATCGCCTCCGAACGCACAACACACGGATTAACGCAAATTGGAATTTTTAAACTTGCGCGTTTTAGCTACATAAGCTAAAAACAAAACATAAATACATGAAAATTAGAATTTGGATTATAACAAAACATATTTATATCGCTCATTTTTAAAATCAGTATATTTAAAGAAAAAGGAACCAGAGTGGATATTGAGAAAACACAGAAGAAATTCAAGGGGGACAAATTCTGGGAAAGGGTTTCATATTGTAGTTTCCCATAGATCAGTTGCCCTGATGGATAAGGAAAATAAAGCAGCTGCTTGCCATATTTGAAGCCTGTAATGAGGATTGTAAAGAAATAGATAGATGCTTCTTATTGTTTCAATTCTCAATGTACTGTACAGATGCAGCTTTTCTAACTTAGCTTTTGTATATAAATTAGGAATAATATCTTGTACTATCTTAAGCAATACAAATTCCTTGGCAACCAATTTGGTAACCAAATTAAAATTATTTTTCTCCGTTATGGCATTAGAGCAAGAGCTTTGAATCTCTATATTTTACAAATCCTAACATCCTTCTTCACATCTTCCTCACCGAGAGTCTCTCATCTGAGATTGGAGGATATATTATATTCCCAGACTCTGCATCAGAAGTGTGGGTGAGCTCAAGAATAGATTTGCAAGATCAAGCAATAATCGGATCTTCATGCTTCAAAAACAGCTATTAGCAACTAAACAAGACAAAAACCCAGTAAGTTTCTACTTTTTCAAGTTGAAACTCATCTGAGAAGAGATATTGAGGTATGAGGAGCCTCTTAAATGTTCAGCAATAGACTGTGGTGCTATTTCGGTATTGAACAATAAGGCTAGAGAGAAGACAAATCATGCAATTCCTTATGGGATTGGATGACATTTACGCTGGCCTAAGGAGCCAGATTCTAATGAAGAACCCGTTGCCTCGTTAGATAACGTGTTCAACCTTATTTTACAATATGAGGCTAATCATGAGCTTACTAACCCTGTCCAAAATATTTCAAAATCTGCAGCAATGGCATTCAACAGTGGGAAGACTTAGAATCAGAAGGGAAATACCAAGTAGACAAAAGGAAACTACAAGGGATCGGAGAAAGCATTATGCACAAAATGTGAGAGAACAAACCATACCGTGGAAACTTGTTAAGAAATCTACGGATACCCTCTAAATCGCATATTTCATAAACCAAAATCTGGAAGCAAAACCCAGCAAAAGATGGCCAACAGCATCCTTAGCTGAGGGATCAGGAGTGTCAAGCCTAAACATCTCACCAGATCAGATACAACAACTTATAGCCCTTTTGCAATGACAAAATTCTACCCAATCCAGCAGCAACTCAGAAAAATCAAGATATAAGTTTATCAAATAGCAATAATAAATTCTTGCTACTTTATCTATATCATTGAGACATTCTTTAAGCTGCACAAATACCATC